GAATCCTTTCCCATGAGAAAGAAAATCCTGACAGATGAGTGCACGAGTCAGTCTTTAGAGCCTCCTGGCCCAGGAAAGGTCACAACTGGCAAGGTAGACCAGCTGAAGCTAACTATTCTGGCCATGGCCTTCACTTGTTCTAGCAGGAGCCACAAGTCTACTCCTTCAGAGGAAAGTGCCACTCCAAAGAGCAATAGATGGAACTTTCTAAGAACCTGAAGACATCTGCACAGAGAGTAACTCTATTAGGTTTTGAATTGAGCCTGTTCCACCCAATCCAGTCCCTTATAGCCTTCAGGTATCAAGTCAAGAATTCCACAATGTCATCTGTTCAGCCTGGAGTGGAGATACAAAATTGGTATCAGCAGCTTATTGATGATGTGTCACCCCAAACTGATGGATGACCTCTCCCAGCAATTTCATGTGGATGCTAAAGAGGAGGAGTCCAAGGCCTGGGGCAGTCCATCAGGAACCTCTCCTCTTTCACCAACATCAGTTGGAAGTGCCCATTTATGAAGAAGTAGAACCACTGCAGAACAATACCCCAATCCCTAATCCTTGCAGTCATAGGAATGATGCTCTTGAAAGAGAGGCTTTGCCACTTGAGAATTGCTTTTTTACCTAGAAGACCTTGCACCATCATAAGGCAGGCAAAATAATTAATAGCTTTGTTTCTTTGTTCTGATGATGATCTTCAGCTGAGTTTGCAGTTCAGAAATTCATCAGAAATGGATGGTCTAAATTCTTAGGATGCTGGCACCTGTGATTGTCACTACATTCTATGTTTTTTCTTTGCTCCTGTGGAATCCATATGCCCCTATTTGTGGCCCAGCTTGCTTAAGGTGCCCCAGAGGCCTAAAGTAATGAGACCCATTGTGGGGCAAAATAAGAGAATGTCCAGAACTGGGGTTGCGACTGCAGCACTTCTGGCTCTAACACACTGACTGTATCCTGCAAAGTCAACTTCTCTGATAGCACAGATGTGGTCTGTCTGGCAGTTGTCATCACAGAATGAGCGATCGTATTGCACTGAATTATACTGGTAGTACTTCTGGAAGTGGCCTTGATCCTTCATAAGTTTCTCCAGGAGCAGATGCATGGAGCGAACAGAACCATCGGAGATCTGGTATGCCTCTGTCAGGCTGTACTCTTTCTTCCACTCTGGAGCTCCCATGTTAGCATGGGTGAGATTTAAGTAGTAAGTTACTATATCCTAAAAGAGAACAGAAAGCATTTGGAAGAAACACTAGGAAATTCCATGTTAAAACTGATCAGAGCTACCAGATTTGGGCAAAAATTCAGACAACTACTGGATGGCAGCAAAAAGATACAGAGAACGCTTAACTCTTTGCTCCCATCTACTGGACATTTGGATTTTTGCAGTTTGATGTGGTAACCCTAGTAATGATGAAGATAGCCATTATATTTCCTTTACCCTCCTCTTCCAGTTCTCTATCCCCCTTACATTCATTCAGCATCTCATGCCCAGTAAGCATACTCAGTTCATATTAGAGTTTTCCCTTGAGTAAGGGTGCAGTCTGTGGTCTTAAAAGCCACAGGGTAGCTCCAAAGGTCCTCTAAAATTTGCAACCGGATTCCAATTTTCATGTGACTGAAGGAGAAAATTACATGCAAGGGGGAACTACTGTATTGTATCAATTGTACGAAAATTAATTTAATTTCATTATAAACATATTTAAATTAAATTAAAACATGTTTTTTTATCTTGACTTTACTCCTGGCCCTACTTATTTTTTTTTTTGAGTAGAGCACCTAGTATACCACTCAAGGCCTGGGGCACCCTCTCAGTCTGAAAAAGGTTGCTTGCTGATATTCCCCATTCATTTTTGCTCATTATATTGCTGATGAATTGCCTCTAAACTGCATTTTACCTTGCAAATTGGTGTGTCTGTGTGTGCGTGCTCACATGTATGCTCTATCTTTAGTTTTCCATTGGGACAATGGGAAAAGAGTTAAGAATCAAACTGGGCATACACAACACGCAATGTGACACTATTTGGGTTTAGATTAGAGTTTTCTATGAACTCAGCCATTGTGGTACATGGCTTAGTGTAGTGTGTGAATCAAGACAATTGTGGTTTACTCAGTAAATCCTGGTTAAGCAAACTATAGCTTAGTGCGATAAGTGAAAGCCTCCCCATGCTGGACTGTTTTCTCTGCCTGTATTTTGTAAAGCAAAGCAAGATATCAGAGATGCATTCCCCCCAATGGAATGCCGCAGTACTTTATCTTCTTCTAAAGATGGCTGGGATATTTAGCTGATTAAAAACCCTAATCCTAACCTAAAAGATTAAAGAACACTTGGACTGAACACAAAAACTATGCTGGATTAAGCCCATTGGATCCAGCATTCTGATTCCTAGTAGCCAACGAGAATCTTTTGCCCTCCCATCCCTTCTCCCTTGACAAAGTCAAGACAGCCAAAAGGTAGATCCAAATCACTTTCTACCTTTCTTCATTTCATTTCACTTTCCTAGGCTGTAGCAACCAGGGCAACTAATATGACTGGGTTCTCCATGGTAGGATGCTTAGTCAGTCAAGTAAACTGAAACTGCGTTTCAGGATTTTTTGAATCAGGCCATAATTCTCCTGACTACGAGCAGGATCCTCATGACTATTGCTCTCCCCTCTACAACAGTTCCCCTGTCCCCTCCCCAGGCTGCCAAAGTGAATAGGACTCAAGCAAGTCACAGCAGTCCAACTCTACAGAGAACACCTAGAAATCTCTAGCGAGGAAAACTTGCCCTCAGTGGCCACAGAGATCACTTCTGGGTCAGGCACCTTAATTTATTGGAGACAAATATAAATAAATGGAATTCTCTTTCTACCTTCACCAGCAGAGTGTCACGGTCGTATTTAAAAACGCGGACACCAGGGTTGTTGGCTCCATTGTGCACACCTGGTAAGGTTGTCTTCCAAGGTGTAACTGCTGGAGCTAAAAACATGACACTGATCGGGGACCCTGAAAGAGAAGACAAACTATGTCAAGAATGTTATGACACACACTTTATCTTGAGGACTGATTGATGTTGCCCACTACAATGCTACACCATAACAGGATATAATCCATGATGGAGCAAGGAGTGATATGCAGACTAGAATAGTGGTATTCAAGTCCCAGCAATGCACCAGTTGACAGATGAGTCAAGGACCTGCCTTTGGCAACATGACCCTACATGAAACTTGCAATCACCTTTGGGGCATCCCCTCCATCTTAAATGGGTGGGGATTGAAAAATTATGCACCCATTCAATTGTGGCACTCCTTTTGTTGAATGTCCTGATTGCTGGTGGATTCCAACACAGATCTCATCCCTGGGCAAATGCTGTTTTATCTGCCTAGGCTTTTGTGGCCTCTAATGTAAGGTAACTGTACATTGTGTTTTATCTATGTTGCTAAATTGTATGACTGCTTTTTCAGTTGCCAGGTCTGGCAGAGACACTTGACATTTTTAGGCAGTTGCCAAGATCCCAGCAGGGTCCAGTTCTGATATCTGCCCTCCAGTGAAGTACATCTGCTCCACTACCCTGATGCTCTGTGGACTGAAAGAGGTCCAAAGGATTCCAGGGGACATACCTGCGTTATCGTAAAACATTCTAAAGCTATCTGTATGGTGATGCCCAAAAAATTGTGCTGCAATCACGGCATGATGCTTCTGAATGATTTCTGTATATTTTTGGTTAAAGGGTTTTCGGAACCAGGGTTTGCCTCGTTTCTTTTCAAAGAACCCAGGAGGAACGTGCCCAGTAATATAGACCTGTAAAGATAAGGGATGGTAAGGGGAGAAAAGGACATACTAAGGACTGTGGGATAGAGTTCCCCAGCCTTCCCCAACCTGGTGCCTTCCCATGATCACCAGCTAGTATGATCGACGCCTTGGGGGATGAGGGTGGGGGACCCAGACCTAACTCCAAATCTTCGCTTTTCCCAATATCCTCCCTGAAATTGCATGTTAATTACCTGTCTCTCAACCTATGTTCTAGACCTGAAACTCCCATTATACAAATTTTAAGCAATTAATCTACATCTTGTTTGGTTCAATCTGAATAGGTTTGGTAAAAACCGTTCCCCTAAACTGTGCAAGGAAGTTGGACTTGATGGTCTCTAAGGTCCCTTGCAGATCTTGCAATCTACAGTATGATTCATACTCAATTTGGCTGGATCACACTAAGCCATTAAGTGGCTAATTTTATTTATTAAAATGTATTTATAAAATTTTTTATCATTAGAAATCAAATCATGCTTATCCCTTAGCATCTTATGTAAGCCCAACTGATTATGGCTTACTTAAACCATGGTTTGTGACATATGTATCCTTTGAGTCTCTCTTGAAATCATGATATTACTGAAGTGTGTTGACATTCCAGAAGTATATCTGTGATGCTAACTTCATAGTGCTGAATGTATTTTTGCAGTACAGTTGAGACATCATTCTAATTACAATCTCCTTTCCCAAAGTGGGTTAGAACTATTGTTTAAAACAAGAAAATAAAGCAGCTGAAAGAAACCTTTTCTCCTGTTTCTGATGCCTTGGTCAACAGAGTTTGCAGCCACTGGAATTGGCCTCCTGGATCCTCCAGACCGATGGACCGATTATTATTTTCATAGTACAGATTTGTGTTGAGGACAATTATTCGCCTTGCTGGTCCGGGACTAGGCAGCAATTGACTGTAGAAAGCACCTGCAAAACAGCCAGCAGATCAGCTTGGTCCAGAAAGTATCTGGTAGGGAGCAGCTAATTTGGTCAACTGGGTCATTTGAATGGTACCACTAACTCCAGTTCATTTTCTTATAGCCCCACAGAATCAGATGAAAGCATTCTTTCGGGTCTACTGCATGTCAGTACTGCCTCTCAAAGCCAATTTAATCTGAAGTGTCACAACACAATCTGCCATCACATACCTGTTCTGAATGTCTGTATGGAGGGCTCACCAAGCCAGGGGCGCCATAGTTCTGCTGTTACATTGTAGATCCTGTTCTCCTCAGTGGGAAGCTGATTTTTGGGGTGAAAGTCATGGTTGCCCATTGCTGGATAGACCTGAGTATCTGAAGGAAGCAGGAAAGAACATAGCTTGGTGGAGAAAGGTACAAGAGGGAGAGGATTTGTCCCTGAACACAGTAAAAGTGGCTGTGAAACAAATGTCCCACAGTAGGGAGAGACAAAACGTACTAAATAATGGTTTGTTTTAGCCATCCTAGATTGATCTAATGCTAAGCCACAAGCCATAAATTTTTACACACAAATCACAATGGCGGAGTTTACAATTATGACTTCCTGTGATGTGTGGACCCAAAATCTTTTTCTCCATCAAAATCAAGAGGGGCACCAGAGATGGCATACATAGGCAGAGAGCAATCACAATTGGCCTAACTTACATCTGAACCTACGTTAATTTACAAAATGTGAATCTAGACAGGAGAATCACCAAACAAGATCAAGCCATGGATTGAAATTGACCAAGAAGGTACTTTTATTTCATTATATGGTAAATTTATGGACTTCTGGAGCTGAGCAGATGGAAAGTCAAAGTAAAAAGCATTCTGAACCATAGTGAACCTACTCTATATCTGGAAGCTCATACTACTGTAAAGACTTATAACTATGGTCACACTATGGAGAGTGGGAAGAACTACACTTTTTCCCCAGGGAAATAGATCGGCTTACGTAAATCTTTCCCATCATCCTGGAATAGGAACAGATTTATTGGAGAAACCTGACAGCAGAATATATACAATCGTGTCTATACTTGCTGCTGCTTGTGCAACATGTTCTCAGTAGTCATCAAAGAAGACATTCTGTTACGTTCTTCCATAGTTTGATACCCACTGTGATGGTTGGAATTTTGGAATTTGCAGTCTCAAAACATTTGGGTTTAAAGTAGAATAGGGAAGGTTATTTTGCCCCCACTGCTTAGTACTAATTTAGATCAAGAGACTTTTCTTCCAAAAGTGCTATTTACAACTAACTTTCTGAAATTTAAAACTTTTTGAACCTCATATAATCTTATTTTCAGGACAATGAAGACCATATGAAAGCAAAATACATATGACTTAATTTAATTAACCAGGAATGTGGAACTGGCTAGAAAGCAATTATGATGTTTCTGTTGCACATAATTAATAAATTTAAGCCAGATAGGTTAAAAATGATCATCTGCATTATTGTAATCTTTTTTCAATCAACTTTTTCATTAGAGTGGCTTCCCAACATATTTGTAACCATATGGAAATATTAAAATCCTTCCCTATTTTCCAAGATCTTGCCACTACCTGACTGGCTGCAACCAGAAATACAAAACAAAACAAAAATTAGCATTTTAATCCTCTAAACATCTCAGTTTAATAATAATATAATTATAATGCTAACGTAATAAAAATTTCACACCAAAACAATTGAACAAATTTACAAAACCACCACATATGTACCCATTTATCTACGTTTTCTCCAATATATGGGGCTTATATTTGAATGTATTATGTTAAGTTTTATACCCAATGTAAAATGTTGCATCTGGTTATGGCCTTTCATAGGCCTTACCTTGTTACTGCCCACTTAATACAAGCAATTTGTACCTGGAAAGACATCTCTGATCAGGTTAGTTAGCTTTTCTATTATTTCCAACACTGTTTCATCCCCCAGCTTCTCATCTGGCACATGAGGAGTATCATCTCTAGAAAACAGCATAAATACATTTCAGTGAAGCCCACAGATACTAAGCAAAAGGCTACATAAGCTACATATAAGAAAGAATAAATTAATCGTACAACCTAGGTCTCAACTGTAATCAAATTTAGGCTAAGAGGTGATTAGGCTAAGAGGCAGGCAGATAAAAGGGATGGGAAGCTACGGAGATATAGATGTAGATATTCCAGTCCATTATCTCTGTTTTAATCTCAAGCTCATTAAAGTTTTTTTTTTCTTTCTCATAGAGTAACATGCAACTATCCCTTTTGTACTAACATATTCACTTATTTGCATGGGAATCCTAAATCATTATGATACCTAAGTAAGTCATGAAGAGAATGAATAAATAGTTATTCTTGAATGGTTAGCCAGGTAAGTGGTTCAATAAAAGTCTGTTCTGTTGTTTACTACAATGCAGAGGACTCAAGCTGTTTTTACCCAGTCCAAAGAATGAAGTCTGGATCGGGAAGGATCTTCTTCATGGCATAAACAGAAGAGTTGATAAGAATCCAGGGAGCATCACACAAGTAATCACCCCAAGTTCCTGCGCTGATCACTGGCTGAGTGCCAGCAGATGGGCACACCTTCAAAGGATCTGAGGACTTTTGGTACTGTGGGTCAAGATGAAGGTCTGAGATATGCCAGAAGGAACCTGCATTAGCAGACGGAAAATTCACCAATAAAATTGTTCAATGTTTGCTTCAGTTTTTGTATTCTCTAGTAATTTCAGTCTTCCAGAATCAATGTTGCTTATTTCAGGCAACAAAACATCTAGGACTGTTCCTGTGTAAAGACAAACTTGTCCCCCATTTGTCAAGCCCACTCTGCAAAACTGCTGATCCTCCTGTCTTAAGCCAAGGACAAGCCATGTTTTTTCTGTCCTGGTTTCTGAGGGGTGGTGTGCCTGAGCTGCCCTCCCAAAATTAAGTAGTGCCATGGTAAAGGTGGGACAAGGAGAAACCTAAAATTAACTTGATTTATGTGTAGTTCAAATGAGTTCAAGTGACTGAGTTAATTACAGACATAGATCAGCCCCATAAAATGAAGAAGCATGTCCAAAGTGAGCCGGTACATACACAATATAAAACATAAAAAGATAAACATGTGCAAATAAACGCTAAAAGATTGAGCTTTGTCAACTGAATGGTGATTGCAACAGCACAGAACTTAGCTGGTTTCTCTGCATCTGATCTGCCAGGAGGGATATAGCTAAAAGAAAATCAATTAAACAGTGAATATGGCTACTTCCATCGAATGTTTCTCTTCTGTCATATTAAAAATAACAATTCAGTGGCAACTCTTGAAGAAGCTCCAAGGGTGGGGCCCACATCCAACTCGAGAGCCTTAGTTGTTGCCTCCTGAACCTTATCACCGAGTGTCATACTTTCAGATAACTTTCCCAGTAAAAAAGTTGAAAAATACCTGAAGCAGCAATTACATTTCTGCAATGCATCAGCAGCAATATAATCCTGCAAAAATCCATTTTGGCGAAAGAGTTTTGTGGCCAACAGGCACCGAGGATCTGCTTCGTCTTCCGTAGATGCAGCTGTGGCAATCGATCATCAGCCAGTCCCACTTTTTGCTCTCCTCCCCTACATTTTTGACTCACAGGTCGCTGAAGGAACTCCTCTTGCCATCAAAAGTATTTCTTCCTACTTAGCAGAGTCCTTGGGAAATCTTTAAACGGTGTGTTAACTGAAGGAAATCGTCAAGGGGCCAAGCTTTATATTATCTGCGTGCCTTCAAACTGCTACCAAGAACTTTGTAATTTGACAAGCTCTTTGCTGACATAGCAGGATGGATCAAGTTTGTGTTCCGGCTCAAAAGCTTTGGTGGGTGGGGAGGGGCAGGCGAAAGTTCAGGTTCTCTGCCAAAGACTACTTCAAGCAGAGAATATTGCCTCCCTGATCTAACCTGTTTGGAAGAAAACACTGGAGGCTGTGTTTCTGGAGTGTTACGATTCTGTGTTATTCTACTCAGAGCCATTTTGGGATAGAGTTACTAGAAATACCAGTAATAAATAACCACATTATGTAGGTTTGGGACAGAAACTCTGCCTGCTGCTGCTTAGATTAATTCCATGAAATGTTACTTTTGAACTGTATATAGTCCCTTCAAAATTGAGTTGGACAATGAACGGATAAATTCAGGAGTTTCAGAGGCCTTGCTGGCAGGGAAAGATGCAGCTGTAATCTGCACATCTGGAAGGATACCCATGGGGTATATTAAAAAAATCAGGTGCTAAAAATAGACATGGTTTGGGCTGAAACCTTTTCAGACCTTCGCAAGGCTAAGGTAAAAAGCCAAGTCTCTGGAAAGCTGGGGAGGACCGGGATAAATTTCTATGAACTGGTGTAGGCGGACGTCAGCTCATCTTTCTTTATCAACAATAAAGTTGAGTCATTCCCCAATTTTATATTGCAAAAACGAGTTTCACTAATCACTGGTTTCACCCAGTGAAACTCACAACAAACCTTCACATCCTCATGCAAATAAAGAGAAGACTGCAGAGTCTCGCTAGCTTGTGCAAAGCATCAGTCTAAAAAGAGGTAAAACCTTCAACTGCTTTGTTTATGAAACAAAAGTACTGCAGTCTTGCATATACTTTCGCTTTCCGAAAATGGCATGGCCAAATGCCAGGGAAATTGGTAGTCATGACAGAAGGGTATGTTTCCCAGTAATAAAGGAAGTTTTCCAAATGAAATCTGAATGCCAACACAGGCTACAAGAACTTCAGCTTCAACCGTCCTTCACCATCCGACCTGGCTTGGGGGAGCAGGGGAGCTGAAGGCTAGATGTGTATGTAAGAGACCGGGTTGGCTCAAGCTGAAGTAGCTTATTTAATAAGTTCGCTACTTCCCTAGGAATACAATTCTCAGAATTGCAATTCTCTTCTGTATGCTGTCTAGGAATTCTGGGAGTTGTAGTTCCGGAACTACACTACTTTACATGCGCCATTCTAGCATCTATCCTTCTCTCTCTCCCGGCTCCTCTGCCTCCCTCCAGGCCCGCACCTCAAAGATCCCGCCCCTTTCGGTTTCTCCATGAGTCGGTTGGTTGGGAGAACAGAAGGGGGCGGGAAAAGCCGGGGGAGCGGCAACAGGTGGCCTATCCCGAGCGCCCGTGTTTGCGCGCGCTACGAAGGCGAGCTGCTGAGGGAAAGTCGGAGTTGAGCTCGTGGGCTTTGCAGGAGTGGGTCGTCCTGTCGTTGCGGCATGTGGCTCGGTCACGGTGAGGGCGAAGGGCGCGAACTTGCATGCGGGAGCTCGGAAGGCCTTCCCCAGTTGGGCGGCAATGTGGGAGCAGCTTCCCTCACCCACAGTCTGTACGGCTGCGCCTCATGGGAGCCGCACTCCAACTTTCTTTTTTCTTGTTTCATTTGACGCCGCGATTACATTAAAAACTATGACGTCATTTATATATTTATTTATTCGATATATATATAGCCGCCCTTCTCACATACGTGACCCAAGGTGGCTTACAGTAAAATAAATAAAAATTTTAAAAAGCATATAAAAGATAAAACACGTTGCAGCCAGGCATTATGACATCATTATATAATTGATGAGATTCAGTAATTGGGTCATGACATCTGACACAAGTTCCTAAGCTGCCTCATTTGTGGGATATCACTTATGACTCCATCATATTTTTAGTTTTGGTCTTAATTTATTTTAATATTTAATGAATAAAAAAGTAATATAGAATATATTTGCTATTTACTTGATGTGCTTTTACCCCTTATGAAAAATTAGAGACTGGAAAATGCAAAAGATAGCTTTATCACCTTTTTATGTTGTTTCTATTATAATTCCAGGAGGTTATGACAACAATTATGGCAATACTAGCTATTCACAATCACCTGGAGGATTTGCATCGCCTTCTGCAACCCAAAGTGAAAAGAAATCAGTATGTACTTCTATATATTCAGTTTATTTTCTGAAAAAGTGGCAGTTAAAGGATTATAATGTAAAAATTTCCTCTTTGCAGAGGTCAAGATCACAGAATATTGTTCCCTGTACAGTATCACAACTATTTTCAGCTGAACAAGTAGATGATGTTTTCAGGGTCCGTGAAGTTGAACTTTCACAGGTAAGTTTCAAAACTCCCTTTACTGTGTATTAATTTTATTATTTATTAATTTTATTTATTTATTCAATTTGTATGACCACCCATCACAACAAGTGACTCTGGGTGGCAAACAATGTTAAAATAAATTAAAAAATAATTCTAGTCACAAATACAAAAATTAAAATGTGCAGCAGCCAGGAAGATATCACAATTGACGGTTGCTAGCAGAGCCAAGAGACAGGACCCTTCACACACTTGGGGCCTCAGGCCTGGGCACAGAACCAAGTCTTTAGGGCCTTACAAAAGGTCAGCAGGGACCAATCTCCAGAAGAAGAATGTTCCTTAGGGCGGGTGCTATGACTAAAAAAGCACGCCTCCTGGGCCCTGCTTTTTTGGCCGATGGGACCCGGAGCATGCCCATCCTGTCAGACTGGATCAGATTAGTAGAAAGAACCAGGGAAAGGTGGTCCCTCAGGTAATCTGGTTCCAAGCCATGAAGGGCTTTAAAGGTGACAACCAGCACCTTGAATTGCACTCAGAAGCATACTGGCAGCCAACGCAGCTCACAAAATAAGGGTGCTATGTGCGCCGAGTAACCAGCACCGTTTACTATCCTTGCAGCAACATTCTACAGCATTTGAAGCTTCTGAATGCTCTTCAAGGTTTTAGTTCTGCCATGATAGCTTTACAAAGGTTTTACTTACTTTACTCCTTTCTGGTATGACATATTTTCATTTGATTGTGCCAAATCATGATCCATTCATGGTGGATATATTTGTGGGGTTAATGAATGCAAGGATGAGTACGAGAAGCCACCATGTATTTATTGAGACTTGCATCTGTTTCTTCATGCAGGTTATTATTGTGGGCATAATCAAGCATGCTGAAAAAGCACCAACAAATATTCTCTATAAAGTGGATGACATGACTGCAGCTCCAATGGATGTGAGGCAGTGGGTCGACACTGATGTAAATATCGTTGGGGTTTCAATATAGATGAAAAGAAGTAGTAAAATGTGGCCGTTACAGAACTGAGGAGGTCCATGTTCAGATCCATACTCATTTTAGAGCTAATAAATAAATAAATGGGAGAACTTTGTATGCTACCTTGAGTTATCTGGAGGAAACTTGCAATCTAAATGTAATACATGCATTACAGAGTTTGCAATTTGCCTTCACTTAGCTTTGGTTCCCCAATGAGGTAAAGTAAGATAATAGAATCCTGCCATTCTAGGTTGTGCATTACTTTGTGAAACATTGTTGGTCAATTCCAAGAAATCATTGTCTCTTCCTTTTATTCAAGGAGGAGGGCAGTGAAAATGTGGTTGTTCCACCAGGAACCTATGTGAAAGTGGCTGGTCATCTGCGATCTTTCCAGGTAAGAACCATGGATCTGAAACATTTGACAATAAGTAACTGCCACATAGTGCTGGATAATTCTTTTAAGCAAAAGGAATGACTTAATTTTGATCTTTCAGCTCCCCCAGCAAAAGACATTTATATGCTGTTATCTAAAATCCTCTTGTTTTATCTGTGACTCTGTCAGATGTGCAGATGAGAAGATGGCAAGTAGGTTTGTGCTCTTGTGACATAAATCCTTGCTATTTAATTTGAGTGTGTTCCTTGACTATTAAGAATCTAACTGTGCATTAAGACATTTTTCTGTGATTTCAATGAAGTAAATATGTGTTTATAGTCTAATAGATATGCTACTTTCCCTTTTTTCACCAATCAGATAAATTGGCTACATCTTACTAGCAAAATTATTTACTAGTTAGTTACTAACCATGTTTTTTTCTCTGTCATTTTGGACATACTGTTATTGTTTGCCTGAGAAGGAGACCAGTTTCGTTTATTCAGCCAGCCTCAGCTTTGCAAGCCAAGGCTTGGTACATTGTGTGAGTCAGAGCACAATATAGCTATAGAAAAATACAATACATTTAAAAATAATTAAAAACAGTAGTGAAGTGGACTTCATGATGGCAAATTCCTAGGCATGAGAATAGGGAAGAGCTCAAGTAAATGTGAGTAAAAGTAACAAAATTATTTTTAGAAATAATAGAATAATGTCTTACGGAAAAGACATTGGTCACCCCTGAAAAATCCAGATGGTATTCTAAAGTAAGCATTATACAGGAATTTATTTTTCTAGATTGTAAAGTATGATTTTAGTTTATTAGATAATAATTTTACTAAACTCAGTAATCAGGTGTCTCATCCTGAAAATCCAGTAATACAATCCTGGTGCGTAACTAGGAAATTATTGGTCAAAAACCCACATTTTGCTACCAGGCAAATTAGTCAAAATTATTACAATAAGCAGCATTGGCATTTAGAAAAACTAACATTGCTATTCCTGGTGACACAGAACACAACATTTTTAAAGGTAGATATGTCAAATTCATTAGAAATATTGTTGAAGATGACAAAAATTCATATAATAACGTATTCTTGGAATACTTTATCCCTTAGAATTCTTAAGAAACAACAACTTAAAAGACAAGCCTAAATTTTAAAAAGAGGCTAAAAGAAGCAAAAGTTTCATAAGATCATGCACATTATTAGAAAAATATTCTTAGCCATTGTTTTAAAAAAGCACATTGAATTTGCTGGTATGTTTACACCAAAAAGGCTTGTTTTTCCCTGTAATGTGAATGTTTGGGACTTATTTTGAAAAGTATATCTCTTGACAGCAATTGGCCAAGAGTATTTAATATTCCTTTAAAATTCCAGAACAAAAAGAGCCTGGTTGCATTCAAGATTATGCCCCTGGAGGATATGAACGAATTTACTACACATCTGCTTGAAGTTGTCAATGCGCACTTGAGCCTTAGAAAGGACAACATGGTATGTGTAGAAGCAAAACATGCACTAATTCAGCCTTTCCTGGCCTAGCCACATACGCTTAGACAAACTGGCTGGCCATCCTGGAAGAAGCAATCTTAATATATCGGGGTGGCTGCAGGTTGCCGAAAGGGGCAAACAGTTGACTGAAAGATGTGAAGAGCTTTAACAAATGGCATTGTTGTTACGACCAGCTAGAATCTAATGTCTAGCATTTTCTTTCAGAATTGATTCATCATTTGTCTTTCCTAAAACTTCTTATTTTACACATGCAGGAATATAAAGTTTCATAATTGGCTATTGTATCTTTTCCTGACATTTAGCCCAAATCTACGAAGATGCCTCAGTCATTCGGTGTATTTGAGACGAACAGTGTGTCAAGTGCTGGAGGAAGTGGTACCTTGCCAATGCATGGTCTTACCCCACACCAGAGTCAAGTATGTGTAGTTACCAGGTCAATTCTGGGCATGCCAGCAGATTTTTTCTCTGGGGAGAAAGGAAGCTTCTTAAACGTCTCTATGCACCTACAGAAGGGGTCAGATATTGTTACCTGCTTCTCACTAATTTCACTTTTGCACACAAACTGTATTCCTGGGATTTGTCACATCTAACTTCATTGCAATGGTAGAAATCTAGGGCAAGACTAAGCACAACCAACTTGTCATTTAATAGGGCTGCATAAATCCAGACAACACTAAATCCTGGAAACGTATATTCTTTACTGCCACTAATGGCTGTCTGGATTTTTGCGGCTCAGGTCTAGTCACCCTATTTTTAAGAAGTTGGAAGGGAAATTACAGTGTAATAGTTAAATAGCTGAAAGAATAAAGCGGGGCTGAGCAACCTACAGGATGCATGACAGGTCTCCCAGGCCCCCAAGTAGTTCCCTGAACCTTCTGAGATCATGATGTTAAAATTCAATGGCCAAATAGTTAAATTTTGGGGGCCACCCGTCCAATTACATCACCACCATTACAGGTCCCTGTGGACCTCTGCAGCCAACAATAATAAGTGTAGTTCCTAATCAGGAGGAAATGCCTCTACAGTACTGTAATGGTTTAGGTATTAAGACTGGGGTGATTCAGGTTCAAGTCCACTCTCAGTGGGTGACTGAGTTACTGTCTCTTATTCCAGCTTACCTCAAAGGGTTGGTGTGAGGAAAATTAGCGGAACATAGGCTATGTATATCTTCATGAATTTCTGGAGGTCATCAGGATATAAATCTAATACACAAATAAATAAACCACTTTTAATTGTAACATGAGAGATTGCTGCTTGTGAGGCCTTTCCAAGGTGCCTGATTGTGCCGTACAGTGGAAAGGCAAAATCATGGCACTAACCTTGGCAGCTTCTGTTGAGCATCTCAGTGCAAAGAGATAATTATGACCTTGCTATCTCCCTAGCTGATATTTTGTCAATGACATAATTCTTTTGATTGGGTCATTAATTTTTTTCAGGGATGAAGAAATCCTTTTGGATACACTAAGCTGTGATTGACTCCTGCAGTTAAGGGCTTTGCTCTAGGATGTGTAAAACATTCAGTGGCAGAGCAGCCAGTTTCAGATGGTCCAGGCCCAGACCCAAAATACTTGTGTTCTGACTGCAAGTAGGGTGGGAGATGCAGAGAAAAGGCAAGGGCATCAGTCACAGCAATGAAGGGAAGGGAAGGACAAGTGCTGGGAAGACGGGATGGAGGGCCAAGTGACCCAGTCATGTCTGCTGTCTTTGAATTTGAGTGCAATGGCTAAGGAAAAGGAAGTTGCTGGGAAGGTTGGTGGAGGCCTTGGCAGATGCTCAGGCCACACGGGAGAGGAGAGAACGAGGGAGGCGCACAAGCCATACCAAATGGACATTATAAGACCTTTCTGGATTTCCTTCTTTATTAATATTTCTATGCAGCCTCAGTTCAAGATTCTTATCAAAACACGGTGCAAACACACTGTTCTGGATTCAGTTCAGACAGACTGCAAGCCATCTGGAAGGCTCTGGCTGAACTGAGCCACAGTGTGCTTGTTTCATGCACAAAATGAAACACATTTTCTCTTTTGTACACGCCTCTGTTTTGCTCCATCTTTGTGTGTTGGCTGCAGTTTATTGTGGACTGGCACTTCTTGCTATGAGCATCCTTGAACTTAAATAGAAAACAAACTATTTGATTTATCAATTCACATGTTTCTCAAAAATTAGCTAATCCAAATCATTTTTACAGTTCAAGGATGGACACTTTTCCCTTTCTATTAAAAATAATGAAGACAATATACAATAATAATACAGCAGTTTAAAAAGTTTTTATTACTCGTGTGGAGAAAGAATAGTATAAAAAGCCAAATCTTTTAAAAAAAGACAAGAATAAAATTCTGAACTAAAAGGCATTAAACTGATTTCTGAAGAAATACAAACGGCCTGCTAGCATGTGTGTTTTCTCTTATAAACCTAGAAAGCCCTTATATCTGAAAAAAGACTGCAGTGTCTGCTCCTTTTTATATCACTACCGATTTCTACTCTTGAAAGTTGAAAACAGTTTCTGTAAAACTTGTGTATTGAAGTTAACAGTAATGTGAATTTATTTATTTTTTTTAAACTTCTGTTGGGTCTGTTCTGCATTCGCATTTGAATAACTGTCTGAACTCTTGCTTTTTGAAGGTTCTGAATTTGATTAAAAGCTGCATGACTACCGAAGGGATAAGTCTTCATGATCTGGAGTCTCAGCTGCATAATATTAATCTTCAAACGCTCAAGTATGTACAGACTGGGAACTTAGACTTTTGACATTCTGGGCTCTTGATGCTCCTATACTGAAAGGAAGTCATATTGATTCCTTTTAAACCTTAAATCAGCACCTGTGGTACAGTGCTGAAAGCAAAGTTAGGATAAGGTTTACTTTTCCTACTGAAGGCTTTTCAGAATTGTATTGCTCTATAGCCAGAGTAATACATATTAAGCAATTTCTACATTCCTAACCCTTTTGCGTATTATGTATTTGATCCTTTCAGAGAACTTTGCAGGATAATGCGGACAGTCTTTACACAGACACTTTTGGCCTTAGCTTTCTGAGCTGCTCCAGTGGTGGTGTTTGTTTTATCTTCTCTTGAAAAAAAAAATAGTTTCTTTGTTTTGTGGCTCCTCAAAATGTTAACACTGTAATCTATTTTCTTATCCCCCTGAATGTTCCCAGGTTAGATTAACTTTTTCAGTTTTTCATCCTTCCTCACTGGATTTGTTTTGAGGTATCTCCAGAGTAAGGCTGAGCTCCTCTGGCTCTGGATGTTCAGTCTATGTGAGGAATGCAGTAAATGGGTATTCCTGGTTTTTTTTTTTTTTTAACTTTTAAAGGGATTCCTCAAAGTTATCTATCTCTAAGGGGGAATGGAAGCAATTGAGCAAAAATTGCCATGATAGTAGAAGATACTGTATATACAATAAAGTGTTTGCCCTTGATAATTCCAAGTGGCTCTTCCAATGTGTTCTCTCTTTTGGTAATCTATGTTTTGGTAATACGGTAGAGAAATCCCCAAGTCATCCAAGGCATTTCTGCACATCTTTCTTATTGTCTGACAGGAGCTCCACCATGATGTAGCAAAATTTTGTGGCAATATGTCAGATCAGGAAGGTATTAGTTCATCCAAAATGTTACCAATAACTTTTTGTTTCTCAGACTTTTTTTCACCTTCTTTCCTAGTTCCTTTGTAATAACTTTTTGGGAATAGTTAATCACATCTAACATACATGCATTTATTTTGGCCAGGGTTTTTAGATTCACTTATTAATGAACTGACATTTTCCTGTTTTATGTATTGCCTAGTATTTTTATATAGGATAATTTTATAATGGTTCTAGATTTATCTTGATTTTATCCATTTTATTACTGTTCAGGATTATATATTCTTATAGCTTTGACTTTTATTTTATATTTGGTTATTAGTACCTACTGTGGCAATTTTAATTATAGCCTGATTGGTTTTGTATATTTCCCCCTCTTCATGTGATTTTTTTTCTTTTTATATTGTATATAAAATATATATTGTTCTATGCTGCTCTTTAGCCATAATAAAGTTTAAGTTTTGAGTTTCACTGAAGAAATTATTTTATTTTTTCCCCTCCTTCCATCCAGGAAAGCTGTTGAGTTTCTTAGCAGCGAGGGACATATATATTCCACTATTGATGATGAGCATTTCAAGTCTACAGATGCTGACTAAGGTCTGGTTGATTTATAATAATCTGAATCCAAAGTTTTATTGGATCCAAGACTGTTTTGCCTGATTTAGGTCTTGAAGTACTCTTGATGGTAACACATAGATTGAATGGGGCATGCCTTGAGCAGATGCCTCCATCCAGCTCTGTTTCTTTTCCATGGTTTAAATTTGTCTTTCAGGTTTCTCTGCCTTTTTCTGTAAATGGAATCATCCTTAATTTTTTTTTTTTACTAATATAGCAGTAGTTTATTTACAGCTAGATTTTCAATCTAAGATACTTTGCATTTCACAAAAATTCTGGAATGTCAAGATGTTTTAACTTTGATCCAGCTTCTGTTTTCTTCTGGCTAATTATTATACTATGTAGTTTTGTACACCTGAAGGCCCCATAACATTGTACAATTACATTATCAGCTTTGTACAATATTAGCTTTTGCCTAATTCAGAAATCCTGTGTACAATTCTAAAAAGTATGTAATTCTTAATTTTGGGATTCTTTCAAAAGATAAGCAGTAGGCTAAGATTTATCCTTAGTTTAACAATTTTATTTTAAATTCAGAAATAGAGTTAACACATACCCTAGAATCTAATTGATTATTCATACAGTAATTATAGATATCGCTTACAAGAGTGTATAGGGACATAAATGTAGTTTACATATTCAAACTCTGACTGAGAATGTAAAGACTTGTGAAAGTTAAGATGACAATGCTGACATCTAATACATGTAAAAATGTAATAAAATCTTCCTGTTCTGAAAATATCCTTGTGTAATTAGAATATGTAAAAGCTTAGTTGGAATTGCAAAACCAAAATGCCATCTTTTTAACTCCTGGGCAGGATATATCCCAGGGATTCAGTGACAAAGAGTTAACTGACTTTCTCATGATTTTGCCTTTTGAGACACATGTTCTGTGTGACTACTTCTCATTGAAGTTTAGGTCCTCCTAATTGTTGTAGATGGGAAGGATGGCAGTTCTTGCTGTCAAAAGTTTGGTGGACAGTGAAACTTCTCTAACTTTGATTTATTGCACTGCTAATGATTGTTACTTAAAATAAAGTTTCTTTAGATCAAGCCTCACTGTCAAGCAAAAAATTTGCTTTGTAATGTTCATTTCCTTTTCATATGTTGTATTCTCTGAATATGCTAGTTTGGAACATCAGAGCGCTAATTACACCCCCACAGTCCAGTGTTTCACAACTTGAAAAGAAGGCTGTCAGCTGCTGGTTAAAAACAATGGGGGAAAATGAGAAGAAAAGATTAAGGCTATTGTTCTGTAGATGCTTCTTGGTATTAAATAGTTGCATTTTGCATTTTGTGGATTGTTACATTCATTTCTTCATTTATTTCTTCATAGTCATGGTCGGAATTGTCACAGAAGGCTGTTCCTGAAAAGAAACATGCTTTATTTAAAATAGTTAAAATTTCCTTTCCTGCCTATGTGCTAAAAAGCAGAGATAACAAGTATTTCAACATCCTCCAGGAGGTGCCAGCTATAAAAAAAAAATAACGAGCCTAAGGAAGACACTGAATTCTCTACAGTCCAAACACCAGTCACTAAGTGTAGCTGAACAGCATTTGAAGTCATCTCTTTCCAAGTAATAAGATACGCCTAATAACATATCAAAGCAAAGGACTCAAAATTTTAAAAACTCTAGACTCTGGCTTTATTATGTTTCTAGCCAGGAATTTTTCTCATTATATATGAAAACTAGCAAGCATAAACTAGGCTATTCTGCCATATTACTTTGTATTTTAATCCTGTCCTAAATTCTCTTTTTATCATGTATGATTTTATGATGGATTAGTGCTTAGATAGGGAAGGGTTTTTTGATGCTTAACTGCAGTTCTATGATGGCTACTTACTAACAGAAATTAAATATAATAAACTTTGCTGTTTTTGACTTGCAAAATTGACTATAATCATCTAATTAGTATGATTGGAAATGACACAGCTTAAACCTGGGGTCTTCCATATGCAAGATGTGTGTTTTGCTGCTGGTGAGGCCCTTTCTTTGCTTGCATATTTCTGAAGAATTCTTAACTAAATTTTCCAGTCTAGTCAGAATATGGTTGCTTTGGTTTTATTTTTATTTATTTTTTTATACATATACAGATAGTCCTTGCTTAATGACAGTTCGTTTAGCAACTGTTCGAAGTTACAATGGCATTTTAAAATGCTACTTACAACCGGTGCCTGAAGTTAACAACTGTTGCAGTGCCCCTGTGGTCACGTGATTGGAATCCAGGCACTTGGCAACCACCTCGCACTTACGATGGTTGCAGTGTTGCGGGGTCATTGATCACCATTTGCAACCTTCCCAACGGCTTCCAGGAAGCAAAATCAATGAGGAACCATGCAATTCACTTAACAACTACTTGATCCACAGTGATTCACATAAAGACTACTGCAGAAAAGGTCATAAAATCGGGTCCGGTCACATGATTCATTTAGTGACCTAAATTCCAGTCCCAATTGTGGTTGTTAAGTGAGGACTACCTGTAGTGCCTTTGAGTCAGTCTTGACTCCTGATGACTACAAGATGTCAAGTAGTTTCCCATTTCCTTCTTCCTAGACTGAGGGAGAGTGACTGGCCCAAGGTCACCCACAGCTGGCTTTGTGTCCAAGGCAGGACTAGAACTCACAGTCTCCCAGTTTCTAGCCTGGTGCCTTAACCACTACACCAAACTCGTGCTCATTTTGTTATATTGAGAGGCTTTTAATGGGAACGACATAAAGAGAAAATGAATTCTACCTGTGGTGTTCTTGGAAGGATTTTTTGTGACTTCCTGAAATCTCTGATGTCCATATTCTATGGTATACGGGTTTGAATTGTTCCAGGTATCATGATCTGCGCTTTTTTGTTTAGACCGAGGGAAGAAAAGCTCTGCAGATTGTGGAGACACGCTACTGACCTTGCTAGAAGGCAGGTAGTGCTAGAAAACAATAAGAAGACAGTTTGCTCTTAACATAAATCATACTGAATCAAAACAAAAGTCCACCTATGGGTGTTGTGAGACTTGAAATCTTCCTATTGCCATTCTCCCCTTAAGAACAACGAAGATACCATCAGCATCAAGAGCCTTAGTACTGAGTGTGGAAGGGGAGCGTTTCTTTTGGAATACTTGTCATCCATAGTTTCCTGAAGTACATCAAATACAAATTATAAACCCCTTTGTTTAAAAATGTGCTGCTTGATACCTTTGGAGCACCTTTAATAATTCAGGGGCAATTTTTCAATCTGCAAATTGGTCAAAGCAAAAACTTATCACAGTTAAAATGTTACTATTCCTGCTTCTGCGGCTGCATTTTTTCCCCCTTCCATCACTGTTCCCGTTAGCAAATACCTTGGAAGATTCTGCTGCTTTCTGCCCTTTGTTAGGCCTCTGGAGAGAGTTGTGTGTAGAATTTTTCTTCTTTGGGGGTCTTGGGGGTGCTGGCACATTGCTAGGCAGTTTCTTTAACAACTGGTAATAAAATGCCTCAGACAGCTCTTCAACAGTGGGTGGCCTGGTGAGAGGTGTGGGCTTTGCTGAGCCTTCAGTGAAGAAGAGGGGGATGTCTAGCCATTCAGGAGGAAGCTCAAATGTGAGGTTTGGATTCTCAGCCAGACTGACTGTGAGAAAAGGTTCTGTGATCTGGGCCTCCAAAGTCAGGAAGGAGACACAGCCTAGAGGATATGTATTGTGATCACTGGCTATCACTTTCACTTCACAAGGCAAATGTAGGTATTCCACTACTTCACTGAGGGTATATTTCCTGCTGTCACGGATGTCCTCCACAAAGCCAGCTTCCAAGAATAGGGGAATCTGTATCTGTTCTTTGTCCTCATCTCCATTGTCTCTATCACAGACAAGCAGGTCAACTGCTGAAAGATCACTAGCCTTCACCAGCCTCAACACCTCTAGCCGGTCACCTACACTGAACAAGGGAAATTCCCCTTCAGTGCTCTCATGGTCTTTGGTGACCACTACATGCATTTGCTTGGTTGTGGCCAAGCTGAGGGCTAACTCTGAAGTGGTGCTGAATCTGCGTGGGCATCTTCGGAAACAACCTTCATAGTTGCTGGAGATGAGGAAATAGCAGGTCTGGGTCTTGCCTTTGGGAGCAGAAGCCAGTATCTTCCATGATGATGCCTTGCTATGGATGTGTAACCTCTGGCCCTTGTGAAGGTGGGGGATCCATTTGCTCTGGAAGACAGATGGGTTTTCTGGCTCCCCAAGGATCTCAGCCTCCACGGGCAGCACCCCATTCATCGCTAAGACTTCACTCAGCATCAATGGCTTGATAAATTGAATGTGCTGAAACTCTTCAGTCACATCCATTACCTCAATATCCAGGGCTGAGTCAATTGTCACTACATCCTTTCGAACTGGAAGGAAAATGACCACATCGTTAAAACAGCTATGATTCTATGGCTAGTTAACGTTTTCTACACAAGGCATTCTGTTTTGAAATTCAGGCTATGAAAAAGAGAGTTGTTTTTTATGAAAGTTCTCAAATTCAGGACTTTAACCTTTCCTGGGCTTTTTTATAGATTCTGACCACAATCTATATAATTTTGATTTATAACATCGCCCCCTTTTTCAAAAAAGCTGTGAACTTACTCTTTTTGTTAGTTGTTATGTTTTATTATTGTTGGTTTATTGAATTTTTTTTTGCCACTTTGATCAAATCAGATTTCAGAATGGTATAGGACAATAGACAATAAATTATGTAAAATCTAATAGAATCCAGTAAAATTTTGAACTTTTATTGCTATAAAAGCTAATACAATCCAAGACTGATTTTTTAACATCATATTAAAAGGCCAGAAAGAACAATTGATGAAACAGATAGGTGGATTATACAAATCAAATGCTTGGGGCTATAGGAAGAAAAAGTCAATCTGGCAGTGAAAAGATTGTGAAGTAAACGCCAATATACCTTCTTAATAAAGGTACTGTCCCAAACCAGGGGCCCACTGCTGAGAAAATTGTCTCCTAGTGATTATATAGCATGTTTTCAATAGTACAATAAGACACGATATAGGGAAGTATTGTAAAATATTAAGATATGGCTGAGTGGGACTTCAGGGGCTTGGTTCCTAAGCCATTTTAGAATTTTAAAGGCAAGCACCAGCACACACTTGTAATTGACTTTCAGCTGCCAGCTAATTATGCTTTTAACTCTCTTTTTCTTATTGGGGCTTTAAATCAAAGCATCCTTCACAGATGGCTGTCTAGCTTCTGCCTACGCCCATTCACTGAAGGTAGCTGTTTCTGCTGTTGAACTCTTATTGTTAAGAATATTTTTTTAACATTCGGTTGAAATCTGCCTTTCTGATTTGCAAGGGCAGATCTAATATTGTCTTCTTTTTCTAATTTTTGCAGCCTAGAATAAAACAAATTTTGTCTAAATACTTACAGTGCATTATTACTTTGACTTTATAGACAGGATAAAGCTGAAAGTCATCCTTGCTGATTTCATCACATTTTAACCTTTTGTGCCTCATGGTTGAAGATTGCAAAACATCCCAAAGTGTGAAGTTTTTTTTCTCTTGAGAACCTAAAACTTTGCCCTTACTGAAGGGGGAAGTTAGAATGGAAGGTTTCCTTTGATGCGGTGACTCAGAGCTGGGTTGAAAATAACCTGTGGGATTTTGCAAACCAGAAGGGTGTTACTTTTTGTTTACCCTATTTTCAGATAATTTTTATTAAAGATTACAATTAGAAAAAATAAAAACCAATGCGAACTACAAAAATATAGGAATAAAAAAGAAAAAGAAAGAGAAGAAAGAAGAAAGAAAAAGGAAGAAAAAAAGAGAAAGAAAGAGAAAAAGAAAGGAAAGAAAAAGAAGGAAAGAAAAAGAAAGAAACCCCCTTCATCACAAGTACAAACAATTTTGGTAATTTGTCACCATCTCTTAAAATGCAAACAAATACTTCCTTCTTCCCATATCACTTCCTTTAACTATGAACAAAATCTTAAAGCCTAGTCAATCTTTCCTAGTCAGCAAAAGTCCATTAAGGGTTACTAGGAATAACTACCTAACTATTTTAACCTTGATGAAATAAGCCAACTCCCTTCCCTGTACTTTTAATAATCTTGACTTTTAATCCCTTAAAATAATGTCCTCGAGCTTGATTTCTTTTTATCTTCTCTTTATCTCCTCTCAGTAAATCCTTTAAAACTTTTAAGAGACCTCTTTTGTAAATCCAGTATCATTCTTCTGGTTTGGTACTTGCATATGCTTTTCAGTTATCAAAACATCAACCGGTATCATTTGAATATCTAGTATATCATCTTTTTCCATATCATTCTTGTAACTTGTCATTTCTAAATCCATATTGAAATCAGTTTCAATCTTATCCTATGTAGTTTGCTCCTCTTCTGTAAAACATTTGTACAGAATCCATCTTATGATGTTAGACATTCTTAAAATTAATTTCTGACTCCATAATTCCCAAATCTCCATAAAAGCATCTACTGTTAGTGTTGTGCTCCATTCTGTACTAGTGTATCAAATCTGAGTATTCTCTTTTAAATGTGATCTTTAGTTTCTTCTGGTTCCCTCTAGTACCGAACATTCAAAGTCCCATCTTATCATGTTATTTTTCCAAAAAAAACAAAACAACCACAGACTCCCATGGGAGGATTCTTATATTTAATTACAAGTTCTCATTTCAAATCCATTTTCAGATAATTTTTATTAAAGATTACAATTAGAAAAAATACAAACCAATGTGAACTACAAAAATATAGGAATAAAAAAGAAAAAGAGAAGAAAGAAAGAAAGAAAGAAAGAAAGAAAGAAAGAAAGAAAGAAAGAAAGAA